TTCACAAGGCACAGAGTCCCCACTTCTGCACCAGTCAGTGCTCATTTTCTAACCACTTCAAAGGAACATGTTACAGAGTATCCATAGGTACCAGAAACATGCACAGATGATGTGCCTTTGCTCTGTGAGCACTGCTGAGGTCTTCAGAAGATGCTTCATTTACTCCATCATGCTAGGGGCTTGTGAGAAATGTATCCATATGGCATATCTCCTAACTACTCGCAGTTTCTTTCCCTGCCCTATTCAGTTTCCTATTTTCAGAACCTCTTTTCATCACTTGAAAGCATCCAGCTCGTCAAGTTAAGAGAAGCAACACCCAGAAGCGCCTGGGTCAACACTTATTTGTTCTGGGCTGTAAACAAGTTGGTTTGATTTCAATCGAATTAGAGACCAGAGAAACTCATTGAATGACAAGAGTCACTCTGCCCTCATCACCCAATGGACTGGCAGGATGACATAAGGACAGCAGGTCGCTTCTCTGAGCTCATACTGCACCGATTTGCTCAATGGGCATTTAAGTATCTGAATGGTAATTCCTAACAACAGACAGAAGCTGGGATGACAAATGGCACTTGCTTATCTCCCCTCAAGGTTGTTTCATTTAAGTGAATTTAAAAATTGTAAAATTACTGCCAGAGGCCCAATATACTGCAGGCAGCTTCACTCGCACAGCTCTGCCAACAGTCCTCAATCCTGGCCCGCAGCACTTTTCCTCAATATTCTGGTCACAGACCTCTCTTGGCAAATACTGACAGCTGGGTTGGGTCCGAGGTGGACAAACATTACCTAGGGACCAAAAAGGAACCACCATACCGCCATCACAAGTGATGTGGTTTAGATTAGATCTCATGTTTCTAAGAGGTGAACACACTGGCATGCTAATCCACAAACAAGGGTGCTCCTCACTGACTCTAAAGGCATGGACATACAAACAAGTTATTGTGAAGTAAAGAAGGGCAGGGATTTATAGCTTACCAGCTGCTCCATAGTAACTGCTTTAAATTACTGTGGGGTAAGTGCACTCAGGCAGTTACCACAGTGTGGTTAATGCACTGTAAATACCTGCCCTTGTTTACCTCATTGTAACTCATTCAGGAACCTATGCACTCAGTGAGATTTAATCTACCATTACACAGGCAAGGCTCTTTTCCTCTCTCCTCCCCATTTCAAGGGAAAGAACAACAAATTCCAGCTGAATGCTTTTATTTAAAGAGAGCCTCAATGTCAGAGTCCCATCATAATTTCTGCCAAATCTGTTAGTTTAAAATGAAGCAGAAGATAGACAGTGTTTCATGAGTCAAAGCATCTTTCAAATGTTTCTTAGTGCCTCTCGCAGCCTTTCACCCAAACTCGTGTCTCTGCCTTATGCATGCTTCACAGGTGACAGGCAGCAATCAACTAGCAGGAAAGGAAACGCGTGTCAGGGGGATTTACTTCTAATAAATTCACTGTACACGCATTCTTCCAAAGGAGGCACGGAAATAATCAGAAAGGCAAAGTTTCTGTAGAGCTTAGCATGGGAGGGGAGGGATACACACAGACAGAGCTGAATTAGATTTCTGACGTAATTCTGCATATTTCTTTCTACAGTAAGCACGCATCTGTGCGAGGCACCCCGACGTGGAATCTCCTGCACAGGGAGAGTGGAGAGCAGGTGGTCCAGAAATCAAGCTCCCGTTTCCAGAAGAGCCTGGCAATAAACATTTCTTTTCTTTCCTCACATTATGAAGCTGGTCACTAAATCAACCCTTGGACCTGCCCAGAATCATATCTGTTTCATTCATTCTGCTGAGTAATGCTATTAGCCAGTCCTTATAGGGTGACTGACATCTTCAGTTCTATATGAAACACTAATGAATCCTGCCCACCACCAGGGGCAGTACTGCAGAGAAGGCTTAGTCCCATATTACAGCCAAATTCATTTCCTTACCCGAGGTCACACACTAACTTAGTGGCTGCCTGGAATTCACATGCAGTTGCTCCTTGGGTAATGCTGTGTTCCCTTTCAAATGGCACACCATTTTGGCAAGTGTAGCAAACAAGCCAACTTTCAAAATAACCTGAGGTAGCTGAATATTGCAAGGCACTGGAAAAGCCCAATATCCAGCTCCAAGGGTGCTCATACTAATGTAGACTGGCTGAGACATGGTGGAAAAACAGACAGCCAGTGTTACCCCAGTGGTTCCCCAAACTGCCAATTCTAATCATGTTGGTAGCACTCAGGAAAGCAGGAGGAGAGGGTAGGGGATATCAGGAAATCTTCAGGACAAATACAAACCTACAGAGTAAGGGGCTCCCACTTAGAGAAGATTCAATATTACCCACTACTGGAGTGGCTGCTAAGGATGGCTCCCAATACACAACAATGCCCTCCCCTCTGCTGTTATTACAGGCAAAACATCACAGACAGTACAAGAGAAGAAAAGGAGGTGTTACCAAGAGATGATTTCACAGAGCAGTTTCCAAGTGTCTCAGGCTGTGCTAATGCAAAGTGGTATTGGGTTCTTGGAAGGGGTGAGTCAGTAATGCTGTGAGTGTACTCGTAAATTGGCTGGGATGCTAGTTGCAGAAGAGCCAAGTGGGCCATTCTATTCAAATCAGCCTTTCCACTTCACACATCAGAGAACACGGGACTACTCATGTTTGGGAAAGGAGTGGGCTCCCTGGCAGTATCCCAGTGTCACCCAGTTTCAGCATTTCACTGCCCTGTGCTCCAGCAAGCTTACGTTTGTGGAGCACCTGAGTGCCTCCACTCATATTCAGAGCTGCTCTTGAGTCAGAGATACTTAAGAACAATGTCCTGCTCATCTCTTCTGCCTGCTTCCGCATCAGTTTGCAACTCAAAACTCAAGTGGTAGGTAGGGGAGTGTTAGTCTATGCTGCTGGTAAAAGTCAGTTAACGAACCAGTCGCTGAGCCAGCAATAAAACCCAAGAACCTTTGCTGACGGTACCATTTTATGAATAAGATAGAGAGGTGAGAGGGGACTCCACTCTCTTCTCCAAGCACCAGACTTGTGGCACTCCAAAGCAGGCACCGAAAGGGGAGGAAGCTTCATGAACAGAGCAGTCAGCCAACTGAACCACCTGAAACAAATTCAAGGGCTTAGGCTCTCGCCACAAACTGACCTGTACCCAACCCAGTCACTTGGCTTCCAATTGTATTTTTATAGCCAACTTCTCGGTCCCACTGCAAACTGCCAGCCCGACCTGCTGAGGTAGGAATACATCTCCTACAGCCCCCCCCTTCATTGCCCTGTTATCCCACACATTCATACCTCTCTCTAGGCAAGCTCCCCAGCACTTTCCACCTCAGCAGCCTTTCCCAACACCCCCACTTCACTGTCTTAGCAAGTCTGTCTTCCCAGTTCATGCTCTAGGCTAGTGTGCCCAAGGCTCTACACAAGAGAATCCCTTCCCACATTGATTAAGGGCTGGCTGCAAACCAGCTTCCGGGTCTGAAGATGGAAAGCCTGTTACAAATGCAAACAATCAAACCTTCAGGTGGTGGTATAATGATAGCTGGGGAGAGGAGGGTTGAAGAACAGTGTTTCCACTGTGAAAGCACTGACTCCCCACAAAGTGCCACGTGCCCTAGTCACTGCCTGGAGGTAATTAGGGTCCCACCGCTGGCTGCACACCCACCAGAATTTACTTTTCTACATGCAGATTGTTTCCTTATATGCCCTTTCTTAAGGCACCATATCAGACTCAGCCAAGGGGCAGGGACTATACTTCCCATGGGCCTGGCATTTGCCTAGCTAGCGTAATTTCCACCATGGTACATATGCCTTCAGCTGCACTAACTCTGCCAGGAGGTTAACCCTGAACCCACCAAGACAGGCTGGCTGGAAATCACTCTCAGATCAAGAGGGAATTTCCTACTTAACTGATGCCACACTGAAATGTTGGCAGTTGAGTAGTGCAAACTTGTATCTCTGACTGCTGCCTACAGTGGCAAGAACTACAGAAGGTGTTCTCTGTTCTGTAGCAGAACAGAGAACACCTGAGCAAGCTACCCCATTCCCTGCAACACAGGCTTCATCGTGAAACCAAATACCCTTGGTCACCTCTTCTGAAATCAAACTACTGCTTTCCTTAGAGGAGCTAGCTGTGAGCACCACACCACCACAAAGCAAGGAGACCTTCTGACTATTGCTGTATGAGGAAGCCTAGCTTGACTTGAAGGGAAATCGTAAAGTGAAAAGTATTAGTACTACTCACCTCTCTTTCTGAGAGGAAGAACAGGTAGCATAGAAGAGCAGCTCCAGTACTGCTGATTTACTCAAGGAGAAATACTTTAGGAGAAAGACTCACTTAGTCCTCTAATGCAGAGGTCTACAAGAGGCTAGCAAGGAGGGGTCATGAGTAGGACAACTACTAGGCCTAGACAGACAGAGGAACCACCAACTGGGATTTTCTGTTAAATGAGAACCTAACCCACAAGACCTGGATCCCAGCTCCAGTACAGCAGGTCCACATTGCAGAGGGCAGCTCAGGCTGGAGACCTCTTTTCAGAAAGATGCCGAGATGAAGATATTAACAAAGGACTGGGGATTTATGTATAAGTAGGGATCTATCCTATTCACGATTTCATGTTTTTCACAGAAATCATGAAAAAAAACAGTTTCTGTGAACTCTGAGAAAATGGTGATCACCACAATTTTGGTAGTCTGTTGCTGCTGATCACCTGAGAGGGCTTCCTATTGTGCAGCCCTGCCCCACTCTGCCAATCAGTGGTTAAGGGTGGGGTCACATGATCAACAGCCCTCTTGGCTAGTCACCAGTGACAGTCAGGGCTGCCAGGGTCCCTTGGCCAGAGGTGGGGGGGGGAGGGGGTGCTGTCACAAAAAGAGCATGAAAATTGTGTGGCTCCCTGCAAGCAGCCCACAATTTTTCCCCTCACCTCAGCCAGAATTAAGCAGGCCCCTATGTATAAGAGCTCCCTGCCATCTGGCAGATGCTGGGTAGCTGGTGAAAAGGTTGCTGCTCAAGCTCCTACCTTCTCCAGTCCCTGAGGAGGTAGCTCCTTGCTCCTGCACCTCACGCTCTGTCTGAGTCTCTGCATTCTGCAGCTGAGGAGCCAAGGTTTGGGTCCCCTGTGAGGTCACCGAGGTGGTAGGGTTCCGGGGCTGCAAGCCTATGGCGTTCATTAGGCCCATGTCTCTGTCTGTTCTCCATGTGGCTCTGCTGGTTCTGAACAGAGAGAAAAAACAAACAAGTCAAGAGTAATGGTGACCTGACCACTCAATCCCCAGCAAGTATCCTAGCCAGGTACCTGCTGGTCCCATCTGAATATGCTTCGTAGGCAGAGTAAAACTGTCAGTCAGTTCCTTCCTTCTTTGACTGCTCACAGGATTTTGTTGCAGTTTAATCATGGGGGATTATCTCATGGGATCTCTTATTCAACCTCCTGCCCTTCAACCCCACCAAGAGCTTGCTGGTATGATACCAGCCATGCCACACCAAGTTTGTGGAACAAACTGTAGGTTTCACTGGCATCACTCGAATCAGCAGGCAATGCAGCAAGTGGCTGGGAAAGGATAATAATGGAAACTTCCTCTGACTCAAGAGGTAGATCTAGGCTACAGAAGACTTGGCAAAACACATGCTTCTACTCCCAAGGGTACAATCTACATCTCTTCCTTCTCTTTAACTCAATGGCTTGTCAGATGCACATATCAACTTTCCTGTGCCCTGGCTTGCATTTCAGCCTGTGCTCTCTGGGAGAGAGGATTCTCCTTTCTGCAATGTAAATGTCAGCAGGGCTGTCTTATTGGCTCCTTTTCAGGAGCAAAGCGTTGACGTGAATTTTACAGGTTTTAAGCATTTACAGTGGAAAGAGGCTTTTCCCTGCACTGGCCTGCGCTGGGAATTGTGAAGGGGCTGCTGGAGAGGTCATCCGAACACATAGCTCTCATTCTACTTAATCCCACCTGCTTTTCTGAGGTTCTGAAACCTGCCCCAGCTCTCCTGTCCTCCAAAAGGAACCAGGTCTTTCCTAAAGATGTCTTTCTTCCCGAGCTGGTCAAACCTCTCTTGACAGGGGAAAGGAGTGAAAGGGGGAGTGAAGTCTAAAATTTTCCACCATGCAGTGGCTCCCAAGGACATCACACAAGACCTGTGCACTTACACAAGGCAATAGTAGTGTATTAGCAGAGGAGAAAGGACCTCCATCTTACAAAAGAGGGACTTCCATCCTGCAATGAGACCAAGGACTTTGCATGAGACCATGCAAAGAGCATGGTCTGCGCTCTGAGGTTTAATTTCCTTGAAATCCCTGAGTTAAGATACCAAATAGAAAAGCTTGGTTTAAAAAAAGCAGGAAACTCAACCTCAACCATGGGGGCATGTGTGTGTGCAGGTAACCCATAATTCTCCAGGTACCTTCCTCAGCACTGTTTTGCATATTGTTTTCATAGCAAGTCAGATGTGGTTCTCCAGTACTTTCCCTAAAGATATTATTGATGGCAAGCAAGGCCATGGGTGAGAGATGAATTTCAATATCACAACCTGCACCTGTGGGCACAGAATATTGCTACTGGAAAAATGCCAGTTGGCATTAGCTGGACAGCACTGAGAGGCAAGCTATGTGTTAAATACTGCTGGCAAGAAGGGGAAAGGAGGAAAGCCCAAAGATGCAGCATCACCAGAGGTACTAGAGCCTGACAAGAAGGGAAGCAGCACTCACTGCTCTCACTGACCATGTCAAGTCCATCCCTAGGAGACTCACCCAGTCCGCTCAGTGCTCCTATTGCTGGAAGGCACAGTGAAGACAGTCTCATTCAGCTGGTCCCAGTAGTACTCAACTCCAGAGTTTAAGGCCCTTGAAATGCCAAAGGGAGAAAACATTAGGAGACAAGATATCTTATTCCACAGAAGTGCTCTGCTGGCTGCACTGCATCCTGGGACAATGGCTCATCCCTTACCTAGCCTGTGCACCCAGCTCATCTGAGCTGGAAGCATAGGCCTCTACCACAAAGGTGATCTGGAAAAGGTGTTTACTGGACTCCTTTGGAAAGGCTCCTATCCAGCTTAAACTTTCATTGAAAGGGCTTTTTGTCACAAAGAGCCTCCCAGCACAGAGTGCCGGGAGTGCAGAGGACAGCCCTGTTGTTTTCCATGGAATGCTAGCTCTGAAGAAAAGCAATGTCAAGCCATGGTGCTAATAATGCAGTTGCACAACTTACATGTGCAATTGCTACAACTGTGCGCACAAATTACATGTCCAAATAGCCAAAAGAAAAGTAAGAGTATTTGTCTTTGTGGAATTAGCCAAGATTTCACTCCACTGAGCAACAATTACTCCCACTAAATGCCTAGTTACTAAACAAGGCCCTTTTTCTTTATTCAGGAATGTCCATGCAAGCCTCCCATCAGCATTGGAAAATGCTCTATGGAACAGAGGACGAAGCAGCTTGGCTCTACCCACATAATGGGTTAGACAGACACACCAGCCTCCACCCGAGGGTATGGACTAGATAGGGCCTAATAGGACTGGTACATCTAACATCCGATATGGCACAAAAGGACACAGGAAGGGCTATGCATGTGTATGCTGGAATGCACTGCTCCACAAATCCCTCAGGGTCTGCTTCCTCATTGCAGTGTAGAGCCAAGCAAGTGGTTCTTAATCTGAAGGGAGAGTTTTGGCATGCAGGACACAGGGACACTTTTGCCTTCCAGGGATTTCAGCAGTCACATTCCTGAACTGCTGACAGCTTGGCATGTCTAAGAACAACACAAAATGCTTTATGTTAGTCCAGTTAGCAGGCTTCGGGAAGAGGCCTCAGGTGTTGCTCTTTCCTGGCAGACACTAGATGCAAAGAGAGGAGAAGATCTCAAATCACAGCAATGCACGTGACCTGGTTACCCCAGAACATGGACTGCTGAGGCAGGGAGCAGCTGAGCTTCATGGAACCCATAATGGGATGCAAGAAGCTGGGAAACATTCTGTTCCCCAGGGCATGTGAGGCAGCCACACTCAGTCAGCAAGTTTCATGGTAAGCCTAGCAAGAGCAGAAGGGCTTCTTAAAGGGACAGACAGTTAGAGGGGACAGATACAGTGGCCCATGAAACTAAAGGCTAAGTGGTGTTCGACGATTTCAAAAACCACATGAAAGATGGACAGTGCACAGCAAGACAGTTCAGTTTGTTACTATCAGGAGACAGAGAAAAGGATCCTGGGTAGGCCAAGGTATATACAAGTTCAGGCCCAAATTTGCAAGAGTCTAATCAGAAGAGGCTCAGAATAAGTGACATGGACCCAACAGCCAGTGTAAGGGCTTTGTGTACATGTAATTGTGATGGTGATGACTCAGTGCTGGAATGAGGACAGCTGTGGGCCAGCAGTGAGATACAGCAGAACTGCAAAGGAAGGTGAAGGAGTGGGGATAAGCAAGGGCAGAATTCAGAAGCACTGGAGAAACTGTGCACTTTGGATGCTCAGACCTGGACTGGCAGAGCACAAGAGCTCTGGTTTGAGGGCAAGGGCTAAAGCTGAAGAGGAGGAAAGGTCAACAATGACACCCACCATGGCTGCAAGAAGCAATCAATCATCACATATTTTTGCTGAGCTAGTCCTGGTGCGTGCTCAGGCAGCTGCCAGGGAGACACTGATTTACAAACTCCTCGGAATTATTGACAGATGACAGCCCATCACTAGAAACCCGCCAACCCCCACAGTGCTCTCTGCCTGCTCCACTGAGACAGGAAAGTGTGACAAGCGAGCCTTCAAGGCAGCACCATTCCCTAGGCAAGGAAGACTTTCAGATCAAGGAGAGAAATCCTTCAGAAAGAGCTTAGTTGCTCTGACATTTGAGACTGTTGGCGGTCGGAACTGAGTTGATCTCTACCTGCCACCCTCTTCTCTGAAGCTCCTTGTAACCCAAGAGCATGTATGACGTCCACAGTAGCCCACACTACTGAAATTCCCCACTAAGGGTGCCAGGTGGACACCAGCTGCCTTGATCATCTCCCAGCACCTGGAAATGAGGCCACAGGGCTTTTAATTAAAGTCATGGTCAATACAGCAATATTAAAGCCGATGACATTTAGGGTGAACAGAATTAAGCTCCCATTTCTACCTATTCCTTTTAGCTAGAGCTGGTGCTGCTCCACTTTGCTGGGTTAGAAGGCCCATTCTAACTCCAGGCTGTTGGTTTGTTCCATTCCCTAGACACAGAAATCAATAGCCATTCCACTTAATACATGATTTCACATGCAGGTTTAAACGGCAGCATTTATCAACTGAGCTTCTGCTGCCAGGCTCCTATTAACTACTCATTTACTGCCAGAGAGCTGGGGCCTTTTGCTTTTGGCTACCCTAGGAGAGGAACCTTTTGAAAGGATCAGCATTCCCAGAGGCAGATGTCAGAAGGGGAGAGCAACACAAGAGTCCCTCTGATTTCATTATCAACATGTGAATAGGACACCCTTTCCCCATTTTGTTTCAGACCTGCCCTGCTGGTTTTGTCTGAGAGAGACCCATGCAATGCAAGGAAACCAGTGACTGTATTCTGCCTATTCTGTATCAGTGCACTAGGCTTCCTCGGTGTCTTCCTTTAGTTTTCCCTTACCCTCTCAACCCCATCTCAATCCAGTGCCTGCTTGGAGTACATACTTTAATTTAAACCAAATTTATTTTTGGTTCATCTTAGATTTGTTTTCAGCTAACCCCAGGGCTGGGCACTGGGTTAACTAGATCAGTTTAAAGGGTAACGTTTTTGCTTTGAAAGACTTAATATTTCCTTTTTACACATCATCACCACAGAACATTTATTAGTTTGCCAAATTCAGGCACTCTTTCCCAGTACCTGTGCAAATCAAGGGCTGATTATCTGCTCCTATGACTTCTGCTTACACTAGGGAGGGAACAGAGAGGTGGTGGTCAGCCATGTTAGTCTCAATCCTCCTAGTTAGTTAATGTCTAAGGCACCACCCTGTAATGCCCTTTGTCTGGAGAAGGAATCTTTAACTTCTCCCCCAGTATGTCCTTGGAACAGAAATACTAGGAAAAGAACCCCTTTCACAGAATGAAGTGCAACCTTTGCTCACTATGGAGCATATCATCTCAGATACGGCTGCAGAAAGGAGGGCATTTGCTGTCCAAGGCCTCAGGGTGAGAAATTGCAATTCTTCATGCTGTTTCAGTCATCAGCAATAAAGTCTATTTAGCCAGGTTCTTATTTTCTTTCTTTTTATGGCTGTCAAATGAAAACTCTCTACACTCTCCCTGGAAATTTCCATTGGCTTTGTTAAGTGGAGAGCTGGTCACAGGCTGGCTGTTCATTCAGCAAGGGGGGTTTCCTCCATGCCTCCCACCAGGCTCAGATTATTTATGTACTTGGAAAAGTTCAGAGCTTAATACTATGCCAAGAACAAAACAAGGACTGGCAGTGGAGGTGTCAGAAACCACAGACACGACTTAAGTAGCCCTGCCTATCTGAGATTATTACCTAATAAAACAAGTGACCTATGGGCAGAAAAGAAACTGCTGCTCCGTTTTAACAGGAATGGATGGCAAAATTGGTCTGGCCTATGGAGGATACCGAACACCTGACAAAGGCATACAGGCTTAAAGAACATTTAACTTAGGAGCTAATTCAGCACAAATCTAACATCAAATATCTTAGTGAGAACCCACAGCAGGCATAATCATAGTAAGGAACTCAGCAGAGAAGAGAGCCTGGGATAACAATGTCAAAGCTTTGCCAGGAGCAAAGCCTAACAGGTGATGGCAAGAAGTTATGAAGAGGCCTTCACTCTGCTGTTCTGAGCAAGCCCTACAAGGAGCTGCATCTGAAACAGCTGAGCCCATGGGATCTGTAGATGGTTTCTTTCAATTTACACCATCCCAAACACGTTAGAGTGATATAGTCAAGCAACTGAAACCCTAATACATGGAGCATAAAAAACAATCAACTCAGACAAGGACACTGGGTTTGTTTCTTATGCAGGGCTACTCACATCACTTCCTGCAATGCCAAAGTAGGGTGCAACCATACAGGGCAGAGTTTTGAGAGACATACTGTAAGTCACATGCTGCAGAAAAATATCCAGTCTTTAAAGCCAGTTTTACAAAGTGACCTTTCATTCAATCAGCACTATCATGGTAGTTCACTGTTTAGATTTTTGGGCTGTTCAGAAAAGGGCTTGAGACAAAAAATGCCATGAGTTTAAGAAAATACCAACATTCCTCCACTGGTCCCATTGGGAGGGGAAGCGGAGGGTGAGGGAACAAGCATCCAGTGGAACCGCACCAAGGAATCAGGTTTTCATTCTTTCCAAATATGGATTTTGCTCCACAGCTTGCCCAGACAAAGCTACCCCAGCTCCCAGCTGTGCTCATTCTCCACAGGCAGTTTTTACAGCATGCTTAAGAGGATGGGAAATTCATGTCATTTCAGTATAGTTATTGCACCCATGAATAGCTGGGCAACAGAATCTTAAGCACAATAAGAGTTCTCATCAACTACTTCAAAGTGAAATGCTGGTGCCTTTATTTCACTAACACTAAAGTTCCTACAGAGAGATGGACCACACACAGTTAAGAAAGAGACACAGGTCTCCAGGGGGAAGCTGGCTATGATGCAGATGTGTAGGAGAATGCAGCTAGGATTCCCAGTGCAGTAAGTGGCTCAACACAAGCTTTAGGAAAGATGACAACTCAGATTTGGTACATTATTTTGGGACAACTAACCCAGTAGCAGCTGATTCACAACCATGCAAGCTAAGATACATGGGCCTGACATGCACTCTGAATGCCATTCATGTGACTTGATCAAGATTAGCATTACAGTGTAAAACTGGAAATGTGGATGGATA